CCCCTGCTGATGGATGCAGTGTGATACTCCTGGGACTGACCATGGTGCAGTTCCTAATTTCTGGTGTCTCTGGAGGGACTTTGGTGGCTGAAGCAGCGGGTTCTGCTGAGGACTGCCATAACTAAAAGGCTGTGTATACAAAGAATTTGAAGGTTGCAGTTTTGGCAGCCCTGGCTTTTGAGTAGTAGGAGATTATTTAGAATTAACTACTATTTAATTCTTAGCTTTGAACTTGCAGTGTAGTATAATAGCTTGCACCAGTTTGAGGACCAGGAACACTGCACAATTAACCATAGCAAAAATGCACATATTTTGCATTAATGTTTGTTCAGGATCAATGATTATATACATTTGTCTAACTATCATAACTATAATCCAGTTATTTCTCTGCATCTGAAAAACTTGTACTTCTTGCCTCAGTTATTGAAAATCAAAATGCCCAATCATCACCACCTTTACAATATATTACTTGCATATACTTCTGTCTTGTTCTTTACCTGGCTTTTATGTGCCCATCCACATATATTTATTTTGTGAAGAGTGCTTAGTATTGGATATCAATTTTATAGGCTGTTTTCTCATAGGGAAATCATGGTATTTATGTAACTTTAGAGCAATAAGAAGCAAAGGACAAAGGCAGTGCATGCATCAGCCTGAACATGGAGCTTGTTGAAGCAGTATTTGCTAAGGAGGTGCAGAGCCCTAGGGGCAGGAGATTCTGCTGCTAGCCGAGCATAGCACTTGGTTTTTGAGAAAGTGATTGCTGGACCAGGGTAATACCTTACAAGACAAACCAGTTAATCCAGACAATTATTTTTACATTAAAAAAATCCTTTATTTTCTGATCACTTATTCTGTTTTTTTTCTCAGAACTTTTCTCTGCAACTAAACATGGACTACGTAGGTCTACAGTTTAGGTAGATAGACACATCCATCCTTCAATCTCCTTAGGTGTTACTTTCTGCTTGTTAACATTTACTAAGCACTTGACCTCATTAATGCTAACAGAGTCTTCAGCTAGCTGAGTGCATGCCAGTACTGACAAGACACTGATTATGACCTTTGCTGGTATTTGAATGAGCCTTAAATCATAAATCATAAAGGCGCATATGTATTGTCAATGTCTGGGATTGTGTGTCTGGATGTTTGATTATAATGCCAACTGTCCCCAGCATATTCTGTGGTCTAGGACTGGAAAGCTCAGCATGATGAGTAAGACAGTTGCAAAATTCTGCAATAAAAAATAACTATAGGTTTAATTCCATGTTTCATTATGACTGTCTTCAATTTAATTCTGTAAGGCTGTAGAATTTTCCTTATGAAACTTTCTGTGATATTAATAATCTGCAGCACCCAGAATAGATATTTAAAGTTAGCTTTAATTTAGTGATAGGATGAAATGTCTCTTGATCGTAGTAAAGCAGTGAGTTTCATGTGATTTTTGACTCTTTATATTATTTCATAACTTTCTGAATAACTTCTTGACAAAACTGGCAAGAAGCCTTCAGAAAGTTTGTCTGATTTGAAAATTCTAAAATATCTCTTGGATATAGATGTCTAAATGTATGGAACCAATGTAATTTCCTCTGTGTAGTAAATTAAAAGGTTTAACACTGGCATACCACTCCCTTAAAATTGGCTCTGTTAAGGTGCTTCTGATATACTGTGTATAAATAACTTGGGATCATGTACTATCTTCCTTTGCTCAGGAGCACGTTTGAAAATGTGCTGATGGCAGGTGTAACAGCCACTAGTTAGAAAGTGCTGCTCAAACACTTTGTGTTGTCTCTACTTCTCCATTGTGAAGTAAATGCACTGCTCTTCTTCTGTCTGCCTCAGACCTTATTTCACTGATTGTAGTTGAAAACCAGTCCAATAACTTCAAATGACATTAAAGGGCAGTACCTGCTGCTCTGAAGTGACAATAATTGGACCTTGTATTCAAGACCTATGGCAAGGCAAACATGCCCATCAACTTTGATTTCAGGGGTTATTTAAATCTTTAGTATGAATATCTGTAACTCAGAAGCACTTTTTCGTTACCTGCAATGCTTCATACCAGCTGAACAATTCCACCCTGCTGAACATGTTACATCTGCATTCAGTGCAGTATGTAAAGATACAACAGGTAGTTCTGTCTGGAAATAACAATGTTCATATAAAAGTGTTATAAATGAGTCCCCATGTGTTATTCTCATGTTCAACTCTGAGCTATTTTTCTTCTGCTGTCCAATTAATCTACTAGCAAATGATGGGTTTACTCTTCTTGTAGTTATGATTTCTGAAGTCTCCAGCTTAGATTTGTATGCTATTTTGCTAGAAGAAACCAGTATTCTTGAAAATACTGGCTTTGAGAGAGTAAAATATACAAATTACACAAAAGCAGAAGGGAGGAAATATTATTCTAATCTCAGTATTAAGTAGATACAGAAGCAATCTGCCAAAACTGAATGACTTGCCCCAATGTCATCCAAATATTATTTTTTTTGTATTAAAGCCAATGAGATGACTTTGATTTCCCTAGTGCTTAACCTCAACTGTCCTTCACAATATCCTTTATTTTAAAACAATCCCTAAATCCTTTTCATATCATGTAAGAGTAAAAGAAATTTTTGCATCTTGACATGGACATAGCATTATTTTGCAAAAAAATGCTCAAAGCAGCTACGATATAAATCCAGCAATACCAAAAAATTTATTGATGTATTCCTTGTCACCAGGGTCTTTTGATGCAGAGATTTTTTTAGGGTTTTGTTTCTTCTTTGAACTACATGTAGAGTGATATCTATATGTTAAAATGTTCAATCTGCTTGCTCATTATTGGCAAAAGAAACCCATTTTGAACCTTCTTCTGGCACATCTCCATCCCTAAATCTGCTGCACATAGCTGTTCTAACATTTCCTTTTTTCTCTAGAGTAGGCACAATCACTCTTTGTCCTCTACAGAGCAGATCAGTGCACAGGGAAATCTCATCTCCGCCCCAGTACAACTTGACTCCTGTGGTGTTTCAGTGCTGAATTCTGGCCATCTGTGTCTTATTGCTTCAGCAAGTTTCCTCTTAGTATTGTCATTAAGCATTTTCTGCATGCAGTCTTTGCACTTGGAAATGAGCGATGTTGTGTTAATCTAATTCTAGTGCATCATCTAGACTTTTTGTAAATTTGTAGGGACATGTTTTTTGGACCAGCATACATATTTCCTTTCCATTAAATACATTTTCTCCCCTTGCCACTAGTCATCCAATCATTTTCTATCCAGATATCTGTGCTATTGCAGACTGCTAGTTATTTTACTCAGAAAAGAAATCCTGGTTTCCTCAGGAATATAGTGCCTCTTTATTATTGAAAAGTATTTGTCAGACGCTTTCCATTATAAGACACAATACAAAGATATTTATGCAAGAGGAAGGGGTCATAAGGCAGTTTAGGTTTTGGTATTCTTCAGTTTGAATCCCTGTCACCTGGGGGATATTATGTACATAATGTCCCGTGGTGTAAGACTATAAGTGTGCTTTTGAAGGGAGTAAGCAAGTTTCTTTCACTGTGGTTTTCTACTGCCATTCTGCAAAGGTGTGTCATTTGTCTCATTAGGGAGCTTTAAAAAAGCCCACGGAAACAACGATCACGAAACAAAGGAAAAAACAGTAACAACTTTTCTATTAAAAAATGAAAAACAAGATTTCCTCTTTGGAATTTACAGTGAAGTAGCAACCAGATGTCTCAGTTAATGATGGGATACCTATTTAATTAGCTATTCTTTGCAACAAACAGATGGTTCCTTCCGAAACCCACTAAATATCTAAATACATGGGGAAAAATGAACAGATATGGCAATCAGGAAATGCAAAGAAACTTTGTACATTGAGTGCACAGCCAAGGTTGCTTGTATACAAAACCCAGCGTATTCTTTGATTACACCTTCAGCGGCAGTAACAGCGGGGGAAGATGGGAAGTGGACAGTTCAGTAAAGCAAATTGATAGCTTCTGTGTAGACAGAATCATTACCTGCCTCAGTATGACATGTGCGAATTGAGAGCAGAGGGCTTTCACGCACAGGCCATCTACATTTCCAGTGCTCCCAGGTCGTAGAAATTGCTGCCAGTGCAAAGTACTTCCTGCTTCTGGAAAGCCAGTGGCCTGTTTTCTCTGTATTATACAACATGTTTCCTCTGTTCATTGAATTTGAGTTCAACAGAGGGGCTTTATTATTCCAGAACCATAAACCCATCTCTTTTTGAACTTCTGAAGCCTGGTGCAAAGAAAGACACAGTAATGAACGTGTCCATCTATGGAGCACACTTTAGTTTGCAAAACAACTGTTTTGCAGAAATAATGTAAGAGGGTCCACTCTAACTGCTGTATGGGGAAGTGGTGTCACATAGTGACAATGAAGACAGGTTTTGTCACACAGCCCTGCTGTCACGGCAATGTTCCCAGAAGCTAGCTGGGTTGGCAGCTGTAGTTTTATACCTTTTTGTCAATAGTATGGCTTCAGAAGCTTATTTTGTTGTTGCTTAAAAAAACAAGTTTTGCTCAGATTCATTGTCTTTGCTTGTCTGCCTGGCACTGCTTAGTTGCAGGATTAGGCTGGGAGACTGCATACTTTTTGGTAATTTGTGGGCCTGAGTTAATTCAAGTTGTTAAATGACCAATGGGTTTTTCTGACTGAATGTGATGTATAGAAGCTGCTTATTTTCTGTTATCCTTTGCATAGCTGATAGTGACAGAGACCCCTGTGGTCGAGAGTAAGCAATTCTTAGCCTTATTTAATAGTTTTCATGTATCTGCATCATATAATAGGCTACACAAACTTACTGTGTAAAAACAATTTGCTTAACAAAAATAAAGTGAAGCTGTGTCATGGGAAGGTAGTTCATATGATCTGAGTGAGATTTGCACAGAATTATTTAATCTGGTATAGTCTGTTCCTATTTAAAAAAGAAAAAAAAAGTCTCTCGGATAACTGGAAGAATTTCCCCTGATCCTACTAGATTTTGCATGACAGCATTTGTTGACAGTTCCTAAAACTTGTTTAGAACGTTATAACCGGAGTATTCGGTGAATCTCCTAGAATAGAAATTGAATTTAATTCTTTTTGATTATATTTTAACTCATATGAATTTGTTTATATATATATATATTTTTTTTTTTTTTCCCTTGGAGGATGAATGTGAATGTCAGAAGAACTAAATTGAGCATAATGGGCGCTCCACAGCAGCTGAAAGTCCTTGGGTGAAGGACTCCAACTGCTGGCTTGTGTTGTGGTCTGGCAGCTGTGAGCCAAGTGTAGTGAGAGCCTTGGGTAATGAGAGAGGTTGATGAATATAGGATACTTTGAGAAAGGTTTGGCTTTTTTTCTTTCTTCTCCTCCTCCTCCTTCCCTCATAACAGCACAGCAATTCTGAAAACATACAAATGCATTTTGAATGTTCAGCTCTGGTTGTCAGATTTATTATTCTTTTCAGTTACTGCAGATGGAAAATTCTTTTTAATCTTACTTTTAATGTTTTTTACATTTGTTTATAAATTTCTTAATTTTAAGAACATCTGTATTTTGTTTTCTCTAGTATTATTGAAGTTGTCACATGCATCAAATGGGCTTTCAAAATATCATTATGTGCAGGAGTGCCACCAGATTAGAGATGATTATGATCATGAACTACTTATACATTTACTTCAAAGTTTTATGCCCTTTTGTAAGCCGGGTGAGTGAATCTGAATTGCAACATGGCTGTTTTTTGCAATATGAAGATGATTAAGACCTATAATTAACTAATGATGTATATATCAATTTGACAAATGCTTTTGCTCTGACTGCCTACTCCCCACAGAAGCCTTTCTGTAGCCTCATGGAAATTTCTGTTCCTGGCTCCTCCAAACCTCAGCAATGAAACATGTTTTAATTTATAAAGGAACTTAACATTCCTCTATAGTGGTGGAGGTGGCTATGCAAACCTCACAGCTTAACACGGAGCATGAGGGGAAATGAAAAGCCTAACAGTCATTAAGTAAAAGAAGAGCTCTTTACAGCTATCCCTTAACTGCAGACAGCAGTGGTGTCAGCCAGCAGGCCTCCACAAAAGGTGAAGTTATAAACACCACTTCTGAGGGCACAGCGACCTGGCCTTTCTGAAGTAACTGTAAATGTAACATCTCCTTTAAGTGACAACCTGAAACAATAATAGCATTTAGGGGAACAATGGCCTGTTAAGAGCAAGTGATGCTGGAACATGGGGAGCGTTGGCTGTCCTTGACTTTAGGACAGCCTGGGAGCCAGTGAGGAAGCACAGATGGAGCCAGTCTGCATAGGCCTCTTCACAGTCACTTTTTTTTTTTTTCCAAACAGCAGGAAAATATTGAACAGTGCCAAAGTCTGAATGAGTCACTCCGCATACAACAGGAAAAATCTTAGAGCACTGAAGACCACCTTAGATGTGAGTTCAAAAGCAAGATGTATACACATCTTGCATGTATCATTGATCTTCTTCCTTTAAATCCCCACCATGAATTTTCCAGGAAAATGTGACAAAACAAAGAGAAATTTCTCTGATTTATGTTGTATTCTAGAATGGTAGAAGAATATGTTGGAAAATAACCAGGGTGATGTTTAAAAAAACCTAAATGGGGGCATCTCAGAAAAGTTGATTTAGAGCCCTATCAGGCTCCTCAGTGGCAAATGTCCAAAAGGCCTCAGAGAGAGAAGGATTCAGCATGGAGAAAAACAGACTGTGAACATATTTTTTAGCTTAGTTTACCCCTCCCTCCTTTTAAATGATCGAAAATGTAAACCACATTTAATGCATAAGGGTTCTTGCAGGTAATATGGAAAGCATGAAGTGTTGCTGCAACTAAATATTTCTGCTTTGACAATACCAGAAGCTAAAATAACTACAAAAAAGAAAAGTACGATTACTATGAAGGATGGGTTTCATCTACTAGAAATAAACAAGAAAGCTCATATCCTCAATTAGAGGAAAGGCTTGGAAAAAAAAATTGCTATGGCAGAACAGTATGAAAGGCAAGTAAAACTGAGGTTAAAAGCAAAGACCATCTGCAAGAATGGCAAGTAAAGACCTGGAGATTTCTTTGGGTCAACAAAACCTTTGACATCAAAGGAGATGTTCTGATTGATTTCAGTGACTTTGAATTAGGGCTTTTAATTGGATTGAAATTATTATGCCAGAAATCTGTATCAGCAAAGGGCTAAAACTAGATTTTTCAAAGCTGGTAGGCTAGTATGTGTGAGGAAGTCATGGTGAATCAACAAATTGGGAGATGGCTGTATTTATTCTGCATGTTGGATCATATTTCATATTTTGGTCTGTAGACTGTTTAGTTACACCTTTGTAGTCTCTTAGCATCAACTGAAAAGATATTCATCATTCATAGTAGTTGGGCAAAAATTGAATTCCATCTGTTTCTTCCATAATAAGTAACTGGAATGAAGGTTTTAACAGAGAACTCCTTGGTAAACACCACATCAATGCTATTTGTGGTTTTGTGTCTGAAACTTCTGCTTAATATATTTGTGCAAAGAAAAGCTATTTTCCTATGTAGTAGTTCACATAATCAGATGGCAGTGGCAGCCGATCATCCAATCTGGTAAAAAAACCTACAGCCATTTCCGATTTGTGACAGCTTATGAATTTTTGATGGATACATAAAGATAATTTTAGTAAGATAAGAGTTTTCTATGGAAAATTAAATGAATGAGAATTCCATGTGTCTCTAACAGGCGTGTCTAACTAACAAGCACTTTAATTGTGACAAACTCATCCAGAAATATGTATAGGTTTATTAAAATGTTACTCATCCTATAATAAATTAGACTTTTAAGGTTTTTCTATCCAACTTTTTCTTGTTTTGTTTTAAATTGTGCTTACTGCTGATTTGCAAGCCAAGAGAAAAATTGTTGCTTTCTGCAAGGACCTAAATGTTAGCATATGAATGTTGAAACCTATCTGTCATTACAAACTCGATTAAGTAAAATAGTTCTATTATTTGGATATAGGTAGAAGAGTAATGCAGAAAATAAACCCTGAGTAACTGTAGTCATAGTCATTAAATACTCACAACTCTAGCAACCTTTGGGCCAGGGTGGACGTAGATCTGGGGATTATCAGCAAAGACAAAGGAAGTTGGTAGTGAAAATTATATTAAAATGGGGGGTTTTGTCCGATATAAGTGAGGAGAATGTAAGCTGAATCTTAATTATTACTGCATTTCAGCCACCTCACCTCAGCTTACTCTCTTATGTTACAAAGCTTATTTCTTAAATTATAAAGAAATTGTCACAAATTCGCTTACAATTTGTTCTGAGTGATACTGGAAATGGATAAACAGTCCATAGGTATCTGAAAGTAAGCACTGGCAGCCCATATTGACACAGAACCCAGCAATGCAGTTCTTATATCCTTGTTGCTCCCTAATCACTGCCAGAGATACATAGCTATCCCTAGGGCAAGTATTAACTTGGTTGTTAGATGAGATGTTTGCAATAGATTAAACAGAAATTACAGCTGAGCTGAATATAGTTGTTCCTGACTAAAGGAACTGAAAGGTGGAGTCCCAGAGCTCTGCAATATGCTGTTTTATTCTTTTCCTTGGAAAATAATGGATTGGAAACTATCACATATTAATCGGTTTCATTGTATTTCCTTTCTGTGTCTCTCTTATATGTCCTTTCTGTCTAGTTAAGGACTTCACATACAATTATAATCTAAAGGTGCAGGTCACCATGTTCAAAAAGTTACACCCGTTTCTGGCAACAACCTCATAAATAGGCTAGAGCATATGCTTCCTGTATCGTCCCCCTCTCTTAGGGACAAAGGCTGTTATTGCTGATAACAAATCAGCTCCTCTGTGATTCATGGGAATAAAGAGCCAATACAATCTGAAATGTTTCTGTCTCACCCCCAGTCTTGCCACTTGATACTGTGTCCTTACTCAGGACTTCCTAGAATGGTGTGGTCATCACCCCCTGATGCCTTTTGGCACAAGGGAAGTCTACAATGCCCTTGGGTAAAATTACTTTACTTTTTGGAACAGAATTTTATTTTCTACGTCAGTAGTTTTCACTGATTCCATGGAAACTACTTTAGGGCCTTCATGTGTTTTCTGTTTGAATTTATGGATGATTTGCCATTCAGCATTAGAATTATTTTTCCAATCAAATGTCATTTCTCTGCGTGTATTTAAAAATAATAATATTTTAACTAGCTGCTAATTGACAGAGAGAAGACAAAAAACAGGCTATTTTCAGCACCTAGTTCCTCTGCCACAGCTTGGTTCTCAGATTAAGTGCTCTGGAGATGAAAAATAGTGAAGGAAAATGCTGTATTTAGAACATTTGATGCTTATGGAACATGAAGGACTCAGGCTGAGCTTGTAAATGTTTCTTCAGAGAGATTTCACCTGTCAGTTCTGCTCAGTGTGTTTTGTAGATCCTTTACTACAGGAACTGGCTATTACAATGAAGATTTCTTTTGATATTTTTGGCAGAATCTCACAGATTTAGGGCAACCCTTTGAAGCTCTCTTTGTTATACCTATAACTTAATGATGCAAAGCAAATAACATTTCAGCTTAAAGCATATTGCAGGTCCCTTTTTCACATAGAAAACAGTACTGTTTAAGCCTGTGCCTTCCCCTTCACAAAAAAAGTAAAACACCCCCCCCAACCAGCTGTGAGTCTGATCTTGAAAATATACAAAAGGAAAAAAAAAATTCTTACAAAAGTAGCGTCAGAAAATTATTGTAATACTGTACTTGAAAACATCCTATGCGCTCCTTTCTCTTCAGATTCCACCTAAATACTCAGTTTGAGAACCTACACTATAATTGCTGCTTTCAAGTAGAACTGGTATAACACCCTTGGGTTTCTCAATTCATTTAATTGAATGATCAGCCTTACCTTCTGAAATCCAAGGATCATTTCATATCCTGTTTCCACAATGTTTTCCATTTGCAACTCAATAAATATATATACAGATATTTATATATTTATAATAATGCAAAGCAGGCTGAGAAACATAACTTCAGTGAAGACAGTGTTTAAGAGGTCTGTGACTAGCTGTGCTAGAATCACTTTTTTAGCTCGCATAATCTGTTTTCTAGTAGCTGATTTGTCAAAGTTTTTTCCCATTCTCAAAAGCATGTCTGTGTAGTCGTCTGCCTGCTGTGGATTTGTTAACATGCATACTGCAAAGTCCAACTGAAACTGGTTGAGTCTGAAGTTATGTAACTTTTACACTAAAAATGTCAGGTCATTAGTAGATATGTTGTAGCTATGAAAATATCAGTGCCTGAAAGGCAAGGTCACTACTCTTTGCTTCAGATTTTTCTTTTCATATCTTTTGGACTTGATTTTATTTAAAAATGTCAATGGAACCAAAAGAAAACCCCAAAACAAAAAGAAACCCTCAAAACCAAAACCCCACACAATAAAATGAAAACCAAACAAACTAAAAGAAAACACAAACAAAACCCCAAACAACCCTGGAACCTCAATAATGAAGCCAAGCAAGTTTTAATATTTACAGACTTTTGGCTCCTCTGCAGATAAAAGCATTTGTCCATATGGACTGAAAAATGGCAAATTTAAGACCTATTTAGGCTCAGTTTATCACATTCTCAGTGTTTTGCTGATTAATTAAAAGACCTTGCTGTCTCCAAAGTCACAATAAATTTAGCACATCTAGGAAAGACTACTAATATTGGGTTATTTTCTACCTTTCTCTGATAGCAACCCTACTTGCTGTGTTATTTTTTGAAAGTTGTGTGTTATTAAAAGCTCAGTAAGGATGACCTTTGAAGAAGGCAGGATGATACTTTTCCCCTCACACAACAGCCTCCCCCCCTCAATCCCATCTCAAAGCAGACACTTCTGACCCTTGATATTAAATGGTGTGACTTCACAAGTAGAATTCACTGACTTGATACTGTTATTTTCAGTTTTATAGGGATTATAGGAAGCATCAGTCATTTATGTGTAGTATATTTTTCTGTTGTCTGTTCTATCCCATGGATTTTTGTTTCTTTTCTGACCAGAAAGCTGATTTCCACACTGCGGAGCTTCTGGGACAGGGAATAATAAAGCTTTGAACACCCTCACTTCACTCAATTTGAAAGTAAGCCTTAATGAAACCAAAGTAACCAGCAGTCTTTCTCCACTGCATTAGTGTGTCATTTTACTTACTTATTTTTTTAGCTTCTGCTCAAATATCCTCTCTCTTTACCTTTAGTGGGAGGGATTTGAAACCCTACCTCTTTAGTGGGAGGGATTTGAAGCCCTACCTAAGCAGTTATTGGGGTATCCAGTAGAGCAATGCAACCTTTTTTCTTCCCACTGTACACAGAGGAAGAAGCAGACTCTAGATATCTGGTTGTCAAAGTAGGCTCTTAGATCAGCAGGGTGAAGTAGGCAGGAGGCATTGGCAAAGCCAAAAGATAACACTGTAAGTCATGGTAGGAGAAAACTGGTGTGCTGCTGCTGGGGTGGAGTAGGCTCTGTGGAGCAGTAGCTTAGGGGGATGGATAGGAGGGTTATTTGGAAAACACCATTCAGTCTGATCCCGGAAGGATCTAATTGTGGAAGCTTGTCTAAGCTTTCCACAAGATGCCTGAGCATTCAGCACCTCAAAGTATCAGGGCCAGAAAAGGAAGAAAAGGGAAATGATTTCTCATGATGACTGCCAACTCTCTGTATTTGTACAAATCTGGCACTTTATAAATAGCATGCTATGTCCTCGTTACAGTTTAATAAGCTATAAACATTCATTACAATGTTTTCTAATCTAAATGTGATGATTAGTTGGTTTTTGGTTTTTGGTTTGCTTATTTGTGGGATTTTTCCACTTGAAAATGGGACAGACATTAATTTGTTAAAATCTTGATGGAAGCAGAGAACTATTTCTCTGCTTATCTCCCCTGGGAAACTGGCCCATCAATTTTTAGCTCCTATAAAAGGGGATAGAAGAGAGTTCCCAAGGACTAGACTTGGAAAGCAGATTGTGGAGGTCCGTCTCATCCTACTTAATGCAGTTCAGATGTACAAGGCTCCACCTACTCTAAAAGACGGTTAGTTTCTAGTGATTTTCCATAACTAGCATAATTAGATAATTTTTAATGTTTAGTGTCTATCTGCTGTGAAATAGCTCTGGTGAAAGAAATGACACAGATTGCATATCACAGTGTTTCTATTTACCTATCTTGACCTCCTTCCTCCAGAATTAAAGATCAGACACACCCAAGTTTACACTGATCTTTTAAAACCCAAGCGATTACATTTAAATGGAGACAGAGAAATTGTTCTGTTTTCATCAAACTCTCTGACACAGACTGGGGGGTAATAAGCTTTGAGGAATTGTGGTGTGAGTAATTCCAGTAAGAAGATTTGTAATCACCGGCTGTGTATCCTGTTAATTAATTTGAAGTACAGGAACAAAGTTTCATCAAAAGTGTGTAGCAGCAAAATGATT